CACAGGGACGTGTGACATGGGGGCACAGCAGTGGGGCTGAGCCCACTGTGGGGCTTCAGGAGCCCTGGCTTACCCCCCCTCCCCAACTTGTGACAGCACCCAACTGAGTGCCCCTACCCCAGGGCTCAGTGTGGCACCCAGGGGTACCTGACCTGCCATCCTGCCTGCAGCCCCCCAGGAGGGAGATTTACCCACGGTTCCAGGCCCCCTCTTCATGGTGCAATACTCACCTCGGAAATTGAGTGCGGAGGCAAAAGTCTGGTGCATGGGGATGCTGATCCTGCAGGGACACAGAGGGGAGAGCTCAGTGCCCGCCAGCCCCAGCCCTTGGGCAGCTGCTCACGGGGCAGAAGCCCCAAAAAACTGCTGACCCTGACAGGACGGAGCCCCTGCTCTGCTGTCACCTGCTCTCCTCGCCCTCCAGCAGCTTGCGGTACGTGGCGATCTCCACGTCCAGGGCCATCTTGACGTTGAGCAGGTCCTGGTACTCACGCAGGTGCCGAGCCATCTCGTCCTTCAGGTGCCGGATCTCCTCCTCCAGCCGGGCAATGGTGTCCTGGTACCCGCCAGCCTCCCCTGCGAAACGCTCCTCCATCTCCCGCATCTGGCGCATCAGCGAGTCGTTCTGGGGGGACAGGAGTGCTCAGTGAGGAGAGTACCCGGAGGAGCCAGGGGACACCTGGGGTGAGAACTGGGGGTTCTGAGGGTGTCCTAGGGGAGAGCCAGGGACCTGAGGAGAGCCATGGTCAGCCCTGAGCTGCGTCCAGCTGATGTGAGGCCATGATTGGTGGCCGTCACCCTCTGTCTGCCCAGCGCTGGGGAACAGGGTTTGGCAGAGGCAAGCTGGGTAGGTACTGGGCAACCTCAGCGCCTTCTGCCCAGGTGCCCAGGTCCCCCAGCAAAGCCATTCTACCCCGGTGGGAGGGCATGGAGCACCAGACGGCTGTCTAGGCTGGCACTGCCACACTGGTGACTGCTGGCTGGCTCCTGTGACCATGATCATGACCATGACCATGACCATGGCAGAGCAGGACTGTTTTGCTCTGTTTGCTTGCAACCGCATTCTAAGCCTGCAACCAGACACCCCAAGCCCTGCGCCCGCCTGCCTGGAGCCTCTCAGTCTGAGACACCTTTTGCAATCTGCATCTTGACCCCAAGGCTCTGCCAAAATAACTTGCAGACACCCAAGCTGTCACTGGGGGAGGTGCCACCCAAATTTAGGGGACAAGTTTCCCCCATGGCAGCAACTCAGAGAGGTGGGAAGAGCCCCAAACCCCAGAGATGTCCCAGAGGTCCCTGAGCAGCCCTAGAGCAGCAGGTCCTTCCAGGGAAGCTGGGGGTTTTCCCAACACGGCCCATGGCTCACCGTGCCCTTGAGGGCATCGATCTCGCAGGTGTAGGACTGGATCTGGTGCCGGTACTCCAGCATCTCCTGTTTTGCCTGCCGCAGCGCGGCATTGTTCTTGTCG